ATTTTTTTTTTTTTTTTTTCTTCTTTTTTTTTATTTATAGATAAATAATTATATTTATTATTATTATTATTATTATTAATAGTATATAACGAAGAAAAAGAAGGAAAAAAAGAAGAAAAAGATCTATTTATCTTCTTACTACAATATGTAATCATATATGCTACTGCAGCAAATGCCATTAATGCTGCTGCAGCAGCAGCAGCAACTGCAGCAGCAGCAGCAACAGATTTCTTCTTTTGCTGCTTATTATGCTGCATCTTATATTGCCACCAACGATGTTCTACCACCTGCTTCTCCTTATCCTGCTGCTGCAGCAGTTCCTGCTGCTGCTGATGATGATGATTCTCCTCTTGCTCTTGAGCATCTGCTGCAGTAGCAACATATCCTGCTGCTGCTGCAGCAGCAGCAGCAGCAGAAGATGATGAGGAAGAAGAGGAAGAAGAAGGTTGATCTAATAAAGGTATTGAAGCCGTCGTTGCTGCTGCTGCTGCTGCTGCTTCGTCTGTTGCTGCTGATGCGTCTTCTGTTGCTGCTGTTGCTGCTGCTGTTGTTGTATCTGCTGCTGCAACGAAGAGTAAGCAGCAGAACAGCAGACTAGCATAACGGCGGTAAGCAGCATGCTTCCTGCTGCTGCTGCTGTTGCTGCTGCTGTTGCTGCTGCTGCAGGAAGGAGCAGCACGAGCTACTGTTGCTTTAGTTGCTGCTGCTGTAGCAGCAGCGGCAGCAACAGCAGCAATCATCCGTGCAGGCATATATTTATATGCATCTATTATAAATAAATAATTATTTATTCCTCCTTTTTTTTCTTGCTGCTGCATGCATGCAGCAGCAGCAGCAGCAGATGTAATAAATACAGCAGCAAAAGGGACAATAAAAGAACAGCAAGACAGCGGCGACGCCAACAGCAGCAAAAACAGCAGCAGCAGCAACTGCAGATGCAGCAGCAACTGCAGCAGCAGCAGCAGCATCAGTTGCTAGGCAATCCCCTAAGGAAAAAGATATAAAAAAATAAAAGAATAAACACTAAGGCGCAGGCAGATTCTCCTGCTGCTGCTGCAGCAGCTGCTGCTGTTGTTGTTATTGTTGCTGCTGCTGTTTTGCTCGATGTTGTTCTGCTGCTACACTAGTGCTGCTGCTGCAGCAACGAAGGATTTTGCTGCTCCCTATAGATGGTAATAAAACCATTAATAGCTGCTGCTGCTGCTGCTGTTGCAGCACGAGCAGCAGCACGAGCAACAGGAGCGACAGCAGGAGCGGCAGGAGCGGCAGACGGAGCAGCAGCAGGATCTTTGCGTCTGTTGCTGTTGTTGCTGCTGCTTCTGCTGCTGTAGGTAGTACAAGGAGCAGCAGCAGCAGCAGCAGCAAAATAAATAGAATAAAAAAGAATAAATAAAATAAAAAATTAATTAATTAATTAATTAATTATATAAAAAAGAGCTCCGTATACACCGCAAAGAACCCGATTGCAGACAACAGCAGCAACAGCAGCAGGAAAAGGAAGAAGAAAAGACAATCTTTTTTATTTATTTATTTAATTAATTAAATAAATAAATAAATAAATAAATAATTATTTATTTATTTATTATTTATAATAACAATAAGATACACCCCTTAATATCCCCCGATTCAATCTGCTTTTGCTGCTCGTGCTGCTGCTGCTGCTGCTGCTGCTGCTGGTGTTCGTGTTTCTGTTCTGCTGCTGCTGCTGCTGTTGCTGTTGCTGCTGCTGCTGCTGCTGCTGGACATCGACAGCAGACAAACACAATAAAAGAACATTGAATTATTTATTTATTTTATTTTTATTTTATTTTTATTTTTTTTATATAATAAGATTTATTGCGGTGTATATACACCTTATATATGTTTTTCTCTCCCCTCTTCTGCTGCTGCTGCTGCTGCTGCTGGTGTTACTGTTGCTGCTGCTGCTACTGTTGCGTCGTGCTTTCGTCTCTTTTTATTTTTACTAATTGTTTATTAATTAATTAAATAAAAATAATAATAAGGGATTAATAACTCTTTTTGCTGCAGTGTCTACGGTGTATGCAGCAGCAGCAGCAGCAGGAAGCCTGCTGCTGCTGCCCGTTTCGTTGTACCTCTGTGGGGTTGCTCCTGTCTTGTAGCAACTGTTTGTGTCACTGCTGCTGCAGCAGCAACAGCAAGCGTATACGTTGCTGCTGTTGCTGCAGCAGCAACAACAGCAAGCGTATACGTTGCTGCTGTTGCTGCAGCAGCAACAACAGCAGAATCTTCTGCTGCAGCTGCAGCAGCAACTCTCGTATCGCACAATCCCGCCTTGTGTCCCTTTAGTGCTGCTGCTGCTGCTGCTGTTGCTGTTGCTGCTGCTGTTGCTGCTGCTGCTACAGTGAGTTGGTGTATTGGGTGATAACTACTGCGCCAGCATTACCTGTTGCTGCTGCTGCTGCTGCTGCTGCTGCAGCACTACTATTATTACTATATTCTGCTTGTAATAGACTAAAAGAATAAAAATAAATAAATAAATAAATAAATAAATTAATTAATTAATAAAAAGAAAAAAGAAATGTAAAATTGATTGTTCCTGCTGCTGCCAATAAGCCATGCATGCAAATGTTAGTTTCCCATTTGGGGCTGCATGCAGCAGCAATTGCTGCATGCACCAGCAGCACCTGCTGCTGCAGGCGAACTGCAGCAGCAGCAGCAGCAGCAGCAGCAGCAAGAGGAATAAAACAACCAGGCAAAGAAAAGTGTCTCCTTTTGCTGCTGCTATGCTGCATGCACAAGTGTCTCTTTTTTTTAATTAATTAATAATATAAATTAATTAATTAATTAATTAATTAATTAATTAATTAATTAATTAATTAATTAATTAATTAATATACAAATACAATTAATAACATATATAAAACAAAAGAGTATACAAGAAAAACAAATAAAAGAAAAAGAAGGAAGAACAAAGGAGAAAAAAGAAAGAAAGGAAAAGAAAAAAGAAAAAAAAGAAGAAAAAAGAAAAAAAAGAAGAAAAAAGGAGAAAAAAGAAAAAAAGAAGAAAAAAAGAAAAAGAAGAAAAATACAATTTTGTTAAAATTTTATTTTTTTTGCCACAAATGCATGCGCTGCTGCTGCTGCTGCTGCTGCTGCTGCAGCAGATACTGCTGCTGCTGCTGCAGCTGCTGCTGCTGCCGTTGGTTCACTTGCCACTCCATTTGCTGCTGCTGCTGCTGCATTTGCTGCTGCACTTGAACAACTGTAGCTGCATTTGCTGCAGTTGCTGCTATTGCTGCATCTGCTGCATCTGCTGCAGTTGCTGCAGTTGCTGCAGTTGCTGCAGTTGATATATTGTTGCTGTTGCTGTTTACTGCATCTGTGCTTGATCCTCTTGCTTCTCGAGCAGCTCCTGCTGCTGCTGTTGCTGCAGTTCGTCTTGCTGCTCTTCGTCTTGCTGCTCGTCGTCTTCCTCCTGCTGCTGTTGCTGCGCCTCCTCTTGCTGCCCTTCCTGCTCCTGTTGCTGCTGTTGCTGCTGCTGCTGTTGCTGCTGTTGCTGTTCCTGTTGTCTTTGCTGCTGCTGTTGCACCTGATGGCTTTGTTGTGCAGCACGTCGCATATGTCTAAGTTGCTGCTTTAGCTGCTGCCGCTGCTGCTGCTGCTGCTGCTCCTCCTCCTCAGGTGTCTGCGGAGGTGAATCGTCCTGCTGCGGAGGTCTTACGCTTATTAATGGTCTTCTTAGTACACGAAGGGAGGAGGAGAGCCAAGAAGGAGAGGTATTATCTTGTTCTTCTTCTTCTTCTTCTTTCTTGGTGCTGCTCCTGCTGCTGCTGCACCTGCTGCTGCTGCAGCTGCTGCCAGCATCATCTTTATCACCATTTACGTCACCTTCAACTCCTGCTGCTGCTGCTGCTGCTTCTGCTGCTGCAGCAGGATCCTCCCATGTAGGTACTTGCTGCAGAGGCTCAAGATACACCGCAGAGGGGCCCCATACCTCCCTTACTGCTGCTGCATCATGCAGGTCCTGTGTTGCTGCTTCTGCTGCTGCTGCTGCTGCTTCCTTATTATCAGGGAAGAACCAATAAGAATCAACACCTGCTGCTGCTGCTGCTGCTGTTCTTCCTACAGGATGACGGGTACGACCAGCAGCAACTGCAGCAAAAGAAGGAGGACGATTACCACGACTTATACGTGCTGCAGCAGCAGCAGCAGCAGCAGAAGGAGGTCTATACAATAGACTACCAGCAGCAGCATGTCTTGCTGCTGCTGCAGGAGGAGAACGAATATAACCTTCTTCTGCTTGTGTTATTGTTGCTGCTGCTGGTGCTCGTGCTGCTGCTGCACCAGAGGGAGAAGGAGTACGAGGAATATATGCAGCAGGATAATCATCATCATCTGCTGCTGCTGCAGCAGCAGCAGCAAGATCAGCTAACTCATCATCAAAGTAATCAAGGCCAGGGGTCACGGGGATTTCATCATAGCCGCTCTCTGTATCTGATTCATTTGCTGCTGCTGCTGCTGCTGCTGCTGCTGCTGCTGCTGCTGCTTGCTCATCATATTCTTGTGTCGAGCCAGATATACGACTAAGAGATGTTAGATCTTCTTCGTCGTCTTCTTCCTCTTCTTCTTCTTCTTGCTGCTGGTGCTGCTGTTGCTGCTGCTGCTGCTGCTGCTGCTGCTGGTGCTGCTGCTGCATTATCCTTTCCTGTTCTTGATGTGCAGGAAGCTTTTGGTCATGCAGTGCATGCTGCTGCTGTCTCCTTAATCTTCTTCTTTGTCTACTATTTAATCCCTCTAGCTGCTGCTGCTGCTGCTGCTGCTGCTGCTGCTGCGCATGCTGCATTTGCTGCATTTGCTGCAGCTGCCTAATATGCTCCAATTGCTGCAGCGAAGTCTTAAGACGCTGCTTGCTGCTGCTGCTGCTGCTGAATAATTCGCTGAGCTGTACGAGCATAGGAGGATGAGGAGCAGCAGTACCTGCTGCTGCTGCTGCTGCTGCTGCTGCTGCTGCTGGTGGAGTATGACGACGACGCTCAGCA